TTTGATGAGATAAACCTTAGTTTAGCGACATGTAATTTGGTTCGTTTGGTGTGGAGGACACCATATAAACTGTAGAAAGTTAAACTATAGAATGTTAAACTATCGCAAATAATATCTACGAAACATCCATACTTGTTTTCTATATAAGACATATGCATAGTCCTGACTCATATAAACTGTAGAAAGTTAAACTATCGCAAATAATATCTACGAATCCATACTTGTCTTCTATATAAGACATATGCATAGTCCTGACAACCAGCCGTCATTCTCACAACTAAAAAGAACCTAGTTGAATAAACACAAGTTAGTGTTCAAACGCGAGGTTGAACACCTAAGCTAATGAGCTGCAACCGGCAATGATGTTGAAAAGGAAAGCATTTTATATGAGACTTCCATGTCCTGACAATAACTTAACATTTGTGTTTTATATTTGGTGAGGCCGACTTAGCTGCTGCGGGGTACCTCTATGTAATGTAACATCCGAAGCATATTGACACATTGAGGAAATGAAAATGAAAGTTGGAGTGAATCAGGTGAAAAGAAGATCTACAGATTCATAAGTGTGACAGCCAATTAACAGCTCTATGCTCAAGCAAATCCTCAAGGCAACCTACTTCTATTTTTTATTTCTTTCTCACAAAAGCACCATCATAATTCCATGATTAATTCATACCAACATTACTCCTAAGAGGAGAACCACATGAAGCAGTAAGTTTCATTCTCAATGTCTATGAGGAGCACATATCTTTTCACACATTGTGGTGAAGTGGTTTTACAATTTCCACAATAGGTGCAAAACTTGGACCCGCAAGAGTATATGCGCACATATTGAGTGCTTTAGGCACACACGGGTGCGATTGGTATATGAAATGGTACTATACTTTTAGTTCGAATTCAATATTGCCAATCACACCCATGTTCATATACTAACCCGAAATACCCAAGGGGAAAGTAACTCGATGCGCTAATCTGAACAACCTGCAACCCGATCCTCCCACAACCTGCCCGACCTGTGACTCAATTGGCCCACACCCTGATGAACCTGCAACACTACTAACCGGAACCCAATGAACCCACAACTCGACTAACCCACAACCCGATTAAACCCAGCATGAACCTGCCCGTCTATTTATAAGATAGATAAAAAATTTAATTAAGTATCAAACTATAATTAAATAAACAAAATTTCAAAATTGAAGTATCAAAACACCAAATAAGTACTCACAGAAAATATTTATTGGGCTAGCTAACTGTTCAAAAGTTCTGTGATTTTCATACTTTAGGTCATGTATATTTTAAATTTAAAAAGATACAACAAATCTATATGGGATTATTGGTTACGAACCTTTACTTTTGTTTGAAGTTACCATGGTTCGAATCCCAATATTTCTCTTTCTTTTTCTATACATAAATAAAAAGATAGGTAATTGTGAAGACATAAATGTCCTTCCTACTTTTGAAATGAGAGGTCAAGTTTTCCCTTATAGTTTTAAATATATGTGCTTATTACCCGGCCCCTTAGGCGGACGTAGTATCGGAAATTGGTACTCTGATTCTGACTGATATTACCCATTAGCATGTATGTGGCGGTGACCGGAGGTAGGTCAAGAACACCATAATAATATGATGTAAAGTCAATTATCGCATTGTATTACAAAAGAAATAGTAAAAACATACACTATAGTGGATAATCCAAATCAAGTCATTAGCCTTAAATCTAGCCACTATTGCCAAATAACTTGATGCCCCTAGAGCGAACATAAAAAAAAAAATCAAAGGAATGCTTACTTGGCTTCAATTCCCGATGGTGAAAAGGGAAGCCACCAAGAGATTTCATAAAGAAAATCCAATCCGGATTGCCCTTAGACCAAAAACCACAGTGACACAAAAGGTGATGAATTCCTAGTTGAGAAAACCAAAACCAACAATGTCCAAATCAAGTCGATGGAATGCGCTGGCAATTTTTTTATGGATAAATAGTTTGGTTTTTTAAAATGACAGAAAAGGAAAATAAATACAAATCATGCAATCTGTTGTAGAAATCTCATATTCAAACAAAAGAAACAGGCAAGCAACATATGCCTGGAAACACCAACAGATAGCAACTTTTGTCGTTACCCCTACCACTGCGAAATCCTGCCAAATCACTCCTAATCACTCTACTACACTAAGCACACAAATGACTTACTAATTTCTATCTCTTCAATCTGTATAAGTCAACCGTCATGTAATCTCTTCATTATCACGGTTTTTATCCTTCTCGACAGCTAATACATTGATTGGTCCTCTCTCACTACTTCTTTACGGCAGCTACATGGCATTTTGCATCAGTGCACATTAATCCAAACAACCATTCATTGCTGCAACTTATGGCTTGTGATAATATCACTTCAGTCAAAATACGAATGTACATGAAATGAAAGAAATGATCAGTACGATAGTCTTGTAAAATTTAGAGTACCAATGTTGATTCCTCTTTTCTCCCGGTGTCTTCGTCAATAAAATGAGATTGGTGGCTATCTCTACCCATGCGTTCTATATGATCATAGTATGGTCTTTTGTATAAACTGTTTCTGCCTAACCCATTTTTGCATTGCAACTCCAAGAGCTAACTTGTTGGGGCTCTCCTCTAGGTAAACATCTTGTATCAACATCAGGCATGACAACAAAAATTGATTTGATCGAGATACTATCAAGATCTTGTGTTGCTCTGAAGTTTTGTGTGGGTCATTGCTCTCTTACCCTCTAAATTAAAGAGGAAGCTCAGGTTAGTCTCATTCATAGCTTAACTTGACAATTTCTTAGAGAGGAGATACAATCACGATTCACAATTCCAGAACAACCACCTCAGATAATACTAATGTAGCACTCAAATTACAATTCCGTACATATTTCCATTGAGGGTATGCATGTGTAGATTAAGAAAGATAGAAGGATTAAGGAGGGTGCTTACTTGGCATGCAGTTTTGATGAGCAAAAATCCCGTCAATAAATTCCATATGGAAATGACCAATCAGTTGGGTCTAGACATGTCTATATTTCAACAGGCTATACTACAAACACAAAGAGTTCATTTTGTCCTTCCCATGTCAACATATGCTCACAATGTATTTATTCCTTGTAGAGAGAAGAATATCAACCACCCTATATCTGCTCCAATTATAGCTATCACTCATGCTTTTTATATTGTAGTTATTAGAACTCCAGTTTTAAATATGGAAGCAAGTGACCACTATCACGAAACATCATATTGTAAAAACTTATCTGCCATCATGAGATTATTTCACTCAAAAGAAACTATGCTCTATATGTTGAAAATCAATATTATAGCTTGAATAATTCAATTCAGCAATCATCTCATCATTTACATATAAAATCTATGTAAAAGTAATATATGATTGAAGCTATTCCCTATGTTAACACTAATAAGAATATCCTTTGCTTACTGGAAACTAACCACAAAACATTTCTAATTAGAAAAATGATGATACTGAAAAGGAGTATCATAACAAAAGCAACAAATAATATATCTATGTATTGTTAATCAACTCAAAAGTCAACCTAGAAGATCAACCAAATGAACTGATGATCAAGAGATACACATTACTGTCAAAGAAATTAACTAACCCACTAATCAGCTCTCCAAACAAGAACACTCAACCTTTCCATATTTATCCCTCCAAAAATTACTCTAGTGTAACAATATAGGTGAAGGAGGTAGACAATTGTCAAGTCCAGTGGGAGGGTTTGGAGAGAGATGGTTGAGAGTTTAGTGGGGCGGGACCCAATTTACATTAGTTGCGACTTTTTCATCCGCATTCGACAAACCAACGTCACTAAACATTTCCATATTTACCCCTCTTAAAGAATGTGCCCCATATTCACTAAAAACTTATGTGTTCAAAAATATTGTTGCTTTATGATAGTTATAAAATTTAAGTCTATGTTAAGAATTCTACATCTCTACTATACATTCAAAAAATACTGCAATTCGATATGAAATATTTGCACCAATGACATTAGGGTTGCAATTTTAATATTATTCTTCTTTTTTATAAGATAAACATAAATAAAATTAATTATTAAAATCAAATTAAATAGTCAAAATATGAAAATATAAGTATCTAATACAAAAAAAATATTTACCGGAGAGTTAGTGAGTTAGTTAACCATGGTGGAAATTACAATGATTTTTCATATTTAAAGTTCATGTATGTTTTTAATTTAGAAGGATTAAACAAATTTTTTAGTGTAACTGATTATGTTTCTTATCTTTTTTGCAAAGAGACCACTATTCAAATCACATCAATGTTGTATTTTTATCCTGTAAATAAGAAAATAATAAATGATTGTGAAGACAAATCTACCCTTCCTACTTTCGCTATAAATGTAGGGAAGTTTGGAGAGACGACAATGGTTGAGGGTTTAGTGGGCGGTGACACTATTTGGGCCCATTTACGTTAGTTGTGTCTTTTCCATCCGCGTTCGGCAAACCAACATCACTCAACCTTTCCATATTTATCCCTCGTAAAGACATGTGCCACATATTCACTCAAACCTTCTGTGTTAAAAAATACCATTGCTTTATGGTAGTTATTAAAATTAAGTCTATGTTAATAATTGGGCTAATACCACTAGGAAACCCGAACTATTAACTTTGTGTCATTTGTGTCCTAAAGTATTCGATATGGCAATTGTGTCCCAAACTATTTATCCATTATGGTTGACTGGCATTGACCGTTAGTTTTAAACAGAAAGTCTAATCAGCGCTGATGTGGCATCTGACGTGGAAATTAAAAGGAAAAAATAACAAAAAATTAAAATTAAAAGAAAATTAAAAAAAGTGGAAATTTCGTTCACTTTCCCAAATTGGATTTTCCGTCTCCCTGTACTCCTCTCCCCGATTCGTCTCCAAGCTCCACTTCCATGGCGGATCCAACGAAGCTAAGGGATGAAATGATTCCGACACTTCTCGTTCACTTTCCTCTTCACCTTTCCCCCGTAACCCTCCTGTATTCCGCCGAAAGAGAGAGAAAGAGAGAATTAGACAGGGGAAATCAGAGCGGAAGCTTGTGCTTCAATGTCGATTCACCGGAAGAAGTAGCCGATCGTCCACTTGCTATAGGCGAATTCACTCAAGAGCAGACGCCTTCCCTCAAACCACGCCAGTCGACCATCTACCTGCCGCCGCTGCTGAGTTCGTAGGGTGAGCTCTGAGATCGCTACCCACAGCAAGCCTTTCCGGCGGAGTTTGTGTTAAGGTTTTTGAGCACTGTCGAAGATCTAGATCTAACTGTGATTTCTGAAACCGGCGACGATCGCATGAAACAAGGGGTAGAAGGTCGTTTGAGGGGCCGACCTGTCTTATCCCCAAATTCGCGTTTGAGAGAAGTTCTCGATTAATTTGCCTAGACGAACGACGAAAGCTTTGGACAAGATAAGATCTGGGAGATTGATTCTGATGGTGCCAGCGAAATAGTAGCCCGCAGAACGGGTTGGACTGTTTTAAGCTCGATAAATCTTGAATGAAGAGAGGGTTGGTCTGTTTCTAGCTCGATAAATCTTGAATCAAGAGATTTTTTTTCTAGAATCGATTCTGGGAGGAGATGATTAAGGTCAGTGGGAAGAGAAGCGGAGGAAAGGGACGACAGAGGATGGAGTCATGGGAGGCGGTGGAGTCGAGGAGGTGAGGGCGGCGGTGGAGTCGTAGTATGGAAGGGAACGAGGAGGCGAGGGCGGCGGTGGAGTCGTGGTATTGGAAGGATTGGGGGGTTTGCAATTGGGAGTGGCGGAGAGGAAGACGAGAATGCCTCCACTTCGTCTTTCCATCACGACTAGCCCCCGCTTTGAACTGTCAAGCCGGTGAGTGTGGAGGAGAGGAAGACGAGAATGCCGCCTCCGTTCCCTTCTTCCTCGGCGAAATTTGATTAGAAGAAGAAGATGAAAGCTTATGAGGGTTTCTTTTTTATTTTTTATAATACTCTATTATTTTTTATTTGTTTATTTAATTTTTCATTAAAAATATGAGGTGTCATTGACGTGGCATCTACATGGCTGCCACGTCAAACAAAAGTCAATGTTAATGTTGACTTCCGTTTGGTCAACCGTTATCTATAACGGTCAACGAAATCGTCAGGACATAAATGACACACAACTATCATACGTTGTGACACAAATGTCATATCGAATACTTTAGGATACAAATGGCACAAAGTTAATAGTTCGGGTTTCCCAGTAGTATTATCCCTTAATAATTCTACATAGCTTTGGCACATTCAAGAGTGAAATTCGATATGCAATATTTAAATTAATGAATTTGGGTTGAAATTTAAAATTATCCTCCTTTTATAAGATAAATAGAAATTAAATTAATTATTAAACTTGAATTAGAATAAACAAAATATGAAATTAGTAGTAGCAAATACAAAAAAAAAAAAAAAGATGTACGGGAGAGTTAGTGGGTTAGTTAACATTGGTGGAAAAGTCCTCGATTTTTCAGATTTAACCTTCCTATATATTTTTAATTTAAAATAATCAAACAAATTTATTAGTGTAATTGATTATGTTTCTTGTCTTTCTTTGCAAATATCACGATCCAAACCCCATTACTGATGTATTGTTTCATGTAAATAAAAAAATAATAAATGACTGTGAAGACGAAACTACCCTTCCTACTTTCACTCTGGATACAATGTATTTTTCATGTAAATAAAAACTTAATAAATGACTGTGAAGACGAAAGTACCCTTCCTATTTTCACTCTAGATGTAGTAAATTTGAAATGGGGCTCCCAGTTTCCTCATTTTTCTTTTATTTATTGTGTAGATTATATGGAATTTTAAGAAATGGAACGAAGAAAATGCCGGCTTAGAAGAACATATAGGATTCACGAAAAATGTGTAGGAGTTTTTTATTGAGGCAGTTTTCTCCGTAGTGTTTTTTTTAAACACGGGTTGTTGGTTTAAGGATCGATGCTGACGTGGAGGCATGAGGATTCCATAAATTTGAAATGGTGAAGCCTTTAATTGGAAAGTCTATAATATATTCTTTAGATAGGGAGTGTTATTTTTTCGACCCCTTATAGGATAGTCAAGTGACTCGTCCCGAATGTCACAATTAATTCCTTCCTAAGGTCCAAGTATAAACCTTAGTAGGGTTCAATATAGGGCAAGTATGTTTAAATATCGACTCGGGCCGGTCCGTGTAACCCTACTTCAATTGTTTGAAACATTATATAGCGAATAGGTTTTGGTTGAAAAGATTGCTAATTAACGTAAAGCAAGGCAAAAGTAAATGGTTTAGAAAGCTCTATATGAGAAGGATCACTCGGGTGTCGCGTCCCCCTAACTACCACCATGGCACGAGGAATTGAATTAATTGTTAAGGGCAAGGTGACCGCGAACCGCTAGAAAATGAAACTATGGTCGTAGAACACACCCGTTTTCCAAACCAAGGGATACATTATATGCTACTCAAGTAGGCCTCTTGGTTAAGGCAATCGATGGTTGACTTACTCTCTCACTCAACCCTATGGTTGGTCGGCTATAACGCTTCACCAAATTGCTTAATTCAACATCGAGGTTTGCCCTACATTAACATAGATAGGTGGCTTAAAAAGCCCAAGGAATCCCAACTTAATTGAGCCTCCCTTGAAATGGGGGTTTTCCTCTAATCTAGGTTAGAATGGCCAATTGGATTGCTAATCACAAACATGCACAATCAACATGAAAATACCTCAATCATTAAATTAAACAACACCCATAAACAATCATTCAATTCACACAAAAACTACATGGCAAATAGCTAGGGTTTCACAACACCCAAGTGAAAAAGGAAACTACTTGACTCGCACGAAACTACACCACAATAAAACCCCAACTAGAGCCCGAGTTTTTAAACTCTAATAGGGTACAGTATAGGCGAAGTATTTAGATATCGACCCGGGCCAGTCCGTCTACCCCTACTTCAGTTTTTGAAATCATTATCTAGCAACAAAGCTTTGGTTTAAAGGCTTGTTAATTGAAATGAAAGAAAGCATAGGTAAACGGTTTTGATAACTCTTTGGTGTAAAGATCACTCGGGTGTCGTTTCCCCCTAACTGCTACCATGCTATGTGGATTGGAACGATTGCTTTGGGCACGATAATCGTGAACCACAGAGGGATGCATATGTGGTCGGAGACCACAATCTCAATTTCTAAACCGAGGTAAGCATGAAAGACCGTGTCACTCGACCCTCTCAGTTTAGACAATCGGTAATTGACTTACTCCCTCACTCAACTCTAAGTTTGGATGACTTAATCGCGATTAACCGACTTGCTTAACTCAATATCGAGGGTTGCCCTAACTTAACCTAGTTTAGGTGGCTTAGAAAGCGGAAGGAAACCCAACTCGATTGAGTCTCCCTTGGAAGGGGGATTTTCCTCTCTAAGCTAGGCTAAGGTGAGTAATTAGATTGCTAGCACCTACATGCACAAACCTAAGAGTGCTAAGCACAAAACATGAACAACCCCTAAGTTGTTAAGCACAAGCATGCACAATCATGATAACTAATGCCTCAATCATTGAATTGAGCAATACCCAATGACAATCATCCAATACACAAAAAAGAAGACTACATGTTAGAGTTAGGGTTTCACAACACCTAAGTGAAAGGAAGTCTACTCCATGCTAGAAGTGGGAAAACAAAAGGGAAAGCGATGGAAACCATCTTGGAGGATGCTCCCAGTCTTCTTGGTCCTTGAGTTGAGCTTTCCTTGGAGGAAATCTTCCCAAAATCTGCCTTGAAGCTAAACCATAGCCTTCTTCTCCCTTTGGTTCGTGTTTCTCTCTCTAGAATGTTGAAGAAGGCTTTTCATACACAATGGGCTCTCCCCTCTCTCCTCCTTTCAGTTCATCATTTAAACCCGAGACGAGCTGCGTTCACGGCCGTGAACCATGAAATGTGTCCGTGAACTTCAGGCGTGCACCAAAACGCGCCGCATCATTCACTTCTTTTCACGGTCAACTGCCCTCATTCATGGTCTTAGTGACCGTGAACTCACCTTGCGTCAGTAACCTCCACTTTGGCTCTAGATGCCTCGCGATTCATAGTCCATGGCTCTTCTTCACGGTCATGCAAGACCGTGAACTTGCTTGGTTAGCCGTGAATTGGCCCTTTTTCACCTCTTCTCTCGGTTTTCGGTCCTTTTCGCCAATCTTTCAACTCCGATGCTGGTTTCACCTGTCAAATCCTGAAACACACTAAAACACGGGAAACCTAGCATAAAACCAACAGTTTAGGAGTGAATTTGGCACAATCATCTAAGTAAAGCGGGGGCAAAATATGTACAATTAGCTCCGAATCACTCCCCCACATTTAGACGTTTGCTTGTCCCCAAGCAAACCATTTCAGACAAGGTAATATTTCAACCTACAAAAATACTTTAGGGACAACTCAAAGGGAACAAAGTGGGCATTCTCAATGTCTATTGGCAATCAATACATGGACCGTTGCAAGCAATACCGACATCCACCACAAACGACATTCGAAGCCACCAAAACCCGCAAACAAAAAGTTCTCACCTTGTTCATGGATCAATGCAAGTTGCAACAAGACCACTTATCAATCACAACCGACCATGCATGGAATTCAATTCCGAGGAACAAATGGAAAAGCATCAAAGGTCATCACCGGGGTATGATATGACATGCAAAGCAAGAATGAATCGCTCACTCTCAAGACTAGTGGGGTCGGGACCTTTTTGGTGCAAAAGATGTGCACAATCATAAACTCTCGGCCTTATCGTCTCAATACCACGATGGTAACCTCTAGATGTTAGAGTTCACGGGATGGTTGTCGCCACTAGCTCGTCCGGAGGTCTTAGACACGAGTTCAGATGACTGGCAATTGTCTTGGACATGGGGAAAAGCTTTTTGGGTGGTGGCAATCATGACGTGAGGTTCTACATCTTTGACCTAAATCCGAAGGTTCTATGGTTTCGACTAAAGCCTCTCTTTTCAACCCAAGGCCACTAGCATCGGCCAAAATCCTTATCTCTCCTTTCCAAACTATCACCCATCGTGAACTACATTGAAATGCTCTTTCTCGGTCTACCCTTGCTAGCACATTAAGGTATGGTAGTGAAGGAGTTCTAAAATAATGTGGGGGTTTCGATGGCTTGGGTGCCAAGAAACACCTCCTACAGCATGTACTTTGGTTTTTCGTGGCACACTCTACTTTATCTACCCCATTTTATTACCTCTTTTTTGTTTCTCTTTTCTTTTCTTTTCTTTTCTTTTTTTTTCTTTTCGCGGGGGGGGGGGGGGGGGGGGGGGGGGGGGGCGGGGGGGGGGTACTAGAGAGTAACAACACTTGCCACCTATATTCTTAACGACCAATGCTCTCTTTTTGAGGAACTAACTCCAACACTACACTTCATTTTTCTCAATCCTAGCAAGGACCACACACGAACTTCCTATGTAGAACCTCTATGGAAACTCAAAGGTGAGAGCTTCGGGACACAAGGATGACTCATGTTTAGGCACGAAGAAAGGATTGGGGTCGTTCTATTAACACCACTAAGCTCACACACACGAAGCTCCTAAATCGAGAACGACCCACAAAGTCACATGGCTCAAAGGGGTTGACTAAAGGATGACACATATCAGGACAATCAACATTTGGGTGTGGACTAATCCTATGCCTCCATCATACTTACTAGTGACAACTTGTGACGCTACACACCATGTTAAGAGGGAACTATCACACCGGAAGAAAACGATCGGCTCAAAGCTCACAAGCTACCTAGTTACCCAACCATCTATTCCAATTCACAAACACGATGCATGGCAATTGTAAACAATAAGTGATAAAGTCAAGACATCCATTCATTTATGCACACGTGAGAACTAAACTTTTGTCCTATCCTAATGAACTTCTCAGTCATCATCATAGGATATACTCGATCACTTGCAACAAGTTGAGACCAATGCCAATAAACACGAGAATTTCCCACCATTCGGTCACTTTGCTCATGCAAACATTGCTTGGAGCCCTCAAATTTTTGAAATTTGGGCATGCAAATGGCTCCAAGCATTAATCACACTCACACAAGCGTACTAGTAAACTATCCCCCCCCCCCCACACACACACACTTAAACTCGACATTTCCCTCAATGGCGTAAGAAAGGTATTGAATGATGTTACCGCTTGGCCTTGGTGAGTGAAAGTTGGAATCGAACCGGGGTAGGATAATTGAGCTTCAAGGAGAGACAAAAAAACACACACAAACACAATATGACTCGCTCGAAGCGAGGTTATTACAAGCACAATACATAGTAGTAGTAGTTCAAACTTGCTAACCTTTGTTGGGTTGCCTCCCAACAAGCGCTTCTTTAACGTCTTAAGCTAGACGCTAGGTCATGCATCTTGAAGGAACACTACCTCCTTGTGTGGCATTACCTCTCCTCCAAGGTAACGCTTCAGACAGTGTCCATTCACTTTGAAAGTTACTTCCTCCGGGTGGGAGATCTCAACCACCCCGTATGTGAACACTTGCATTACCACATACGGGCCCGACCATTTTGACCATAACTTTCCAGGGAATAACTTCAACCGGGAGTTGTACAAGAGAACCTGGTCTCCGGGCTGGAAATCCTTACCTCCTTTCAAGCGGGCATCGTGCAAGCGCTTCGTCCTCTTCTTATAATCTTGGTGTTCTCATAGGCTTGGACACGCCACTCCTCAAGTTTAAGCACCTGCAACTTCCTTTCATTTCCACACAAACTAGGGTCCATATTCAAAAGCTTTGTGGCCTAGAAAGCCTTGTGCTCTATCTCTACGGGTAAGTGGCACGCTTTGTCATACACCAACTGATAAGGCGAGACGCCTATTGGTGTTTTGTAGGCCGTACGGTATGCCCATAGAGCATCATCGAGCTTTGCGGACCAATCCTTGAGAGATTGATCCATGGTATTTTCCAGGATCCGTTTAAGCTCCCTGTTTGATAGCTCGACTTTTCCACTAGTTTGGGGGTGATAGGCCATGGACATCCGGTGGGTGACACCGTAGCGAGAGATGAGCTTATTGAATTTCCCTTGAAAATGGGTTCCTCGGTCGCTAACGATGGCCCTCGAGGTCCCAAATCGTGAAAACAGCTTTTTCAGAAATCCATAGACTCGTCTTGCATCATTGGTGGGGAGATCTTGAGCCTCAACCCACCTCGAGACGTAGTTTATAGCCACAAGGATGTATTTGTTACCAAAAGACGAGGGGAAAGGTCCCATAAAATCGATGCCCCAAACATCAAAGATCTCACAAGTAATAGAAATCGTTTGGGGCATCTCATTTTAGATAGAAGCATTACCTGTCCTTTGGCATTTGCTAATTGAAATGAAAGAAAGCAAAGGTAAATGGTTTTGATAACTCTTTAGTGGAAAGATCACTCTGGTGTCGCTTCCCCCTAACTGCTACCATGCTATCTGGATTGGAACAATTGCTTTGGGCACGATAATCGCGATCCGCAGATGGATGCATATGTGGTCGGAGACCACAATCTCAATTGCTAAACCGAGGTAAGCATGAAAGGCCCTGTCACTCGACCCTCTCGGTTTAGACAATCGGTAATTGACTTACTCCCTCACTCAACTCTAAGGTCGGACGGCTTAATCGCAATTAACATACTTGCTTAACTCAATATCGAGGGTTGACCTAACTTAACCTAGTTTAGGAGGCTTAGAAAGCGGAAGGAAAACCAACTCGATTGAGTCTCCCTTGGAAGGGGGATTTTCCTCTCTAAGCTAGGCTAAGGTGGCTAATTAGATTGCTAGCACCTACATGCACAAATCTAAGGGTGCTAAGCACAAAACATGCACAACCCCTAAGTTGCTAAGAACAAGCATGCACAATCATGATAAATAATAGCTCAATCATTGAATTGAACAATATCCAATGAAAATCATCCAATACACATAAAAAAAAACTACATGTTAGAGTTAGGGTTTCACAACACCTAAGTGAAAGGAGGTCTACTCCATGCTAGAAGTGGGGAAAACAAAAGGGAAAGATATGGAAAGCATCTTGGAGGATGCTCCCAGTCTTCTTGGCCCTTGAGTTGAGCTTTCCTTGGAGGAAATCTTCCAAAAATTTGCCTTGAAGCTAAACCCTAGCCTTCTTCTTCCTTTGGTTTGTGTTTCTCTCTCTATAATGTTGAAGAAGGCTTTTCACACACAATGGGCTCTCCCCTCTCTCCTCCTTTCAGCTCATCATTTAAACCCGAGACGAGCTGATTTCACGGCCGTGAACCATGAAACGTGTCTGTGAACTTCAGGCGTGCACCAAAATGCGCCGTATCATTCACTTCCGTTCACGGTCAACTGTCCTCGTTCACGGTCTTAGTGACCGTGAACTCACCTTGCGTCAGTAACCTCCACTTTGGCTCTGGACGCCTCTCGATTCACGGTCCATGACTCTTCTTCACGGTCATGCGTGACCGTGAACTTTCTTGGTTAGCCGTGAACTGGCCCTTTTCACCTCCTCCCGGTTTTCGATCCTTTTCGCCAATCTTTCGACTCCGAGGCTGGTTTCACCTGTCAAATCCTGAAACACACTAAAACGCAAGAAACCTAGCGTAAAACCAACCTTTTAGGAGTGAATTTGGTACAAACATCTAAGTAAAATTGGGGCAAAACATGTACAATTAGGCCTGAATCATTCCCCTAGACTTAGACGTTTGCTTGTCCCCAAGCAAACCATTTCACACAAGGTAATATTTCAACCTACGCAAATACTTTGGGGACAACTCAAAGGGAACTAAGTGGGAATTCTCAATGGCTATTGGCAATCAATACATGGGCCGTTGCAAGCAATACCGGCATCCACCACAAACGACATCTCCCCTCTCTCTTCCTTTCAGCTCACATTATACCAGGATCGGGCTCAGTTCACGGCCTCAGTTCACGGCCGTGAACTCTTCAACGCGTCCATGAACACGGAGAACGCTGTCGAAACACACCGCTTCGCCATTAGGAGTTCACGGTTTGGCCTCTATCTTCACGCTCTTGTTGACCGTGAACTCGTCCCGCAATAGTAACTGCAGATTTCTCCCTGGACGCATCGCGGTTCACGGTTTTGGGCTTCAGTTCACGGTCATAGTGGACCGTGAACTCCCATGCTAAACCGTGAACTCTGCCTGGATCACCCTCTTTGCCCGATTTTCACCTCTTTTCGTCCAACTTTTGACTCCGGGGATGGTTTCACCTGTTGAATCCTGAAACACTCTAAAACTCACAAAACCTAGCGTAAAACCACCTTTTTAGGAGTCCGGATGCTACAAACGTCCAAGGAAAACGGGAATAAAAAGTGTACAATTAGGCCCGAATCATCAAGCTAACTCATCCCTTGAAATATTGTATTCTATTGTCTCGATGTTTTCTATGTATATTTGAATGATTTTATCCAACTTTTTTATGCACATTAGTCTCTACTTTTTCTCCTTAAGTTTTCGTCCATTTTAATATCTATATATGATATTGCATGTAACTTTCTTGTAAGAAATTTGAGTATACTTTAAATATAACATGTTGTTCCCAAATTTGAGAAAGACGAATGAGGATTATAGTAACGGAAGGTTGGGCCTCTCAAGTACTCCTTTTCTTCAATCAAGCTGGGGATGCATAACAAGAAATGAGTAAAGTTTTGTTGTATGAGAGAATATAATCCATTGAAAGTTGTCAGGCGATATTATGAATTATGATAAAAACGTGACGTGATATGAGACACGTGATCCACCAACCTCACCATCACTCCTTTCCCCTTCTCAAATTGCAAACAGTTAATCCAGTGAAATGATGCAACCACCCAACAACAAATCATTGACCTAGATTTCCCCGACACATGTACTGTGTAACATCATTTTTGGTGGAAATGGAACACTTCAACTCCATACATAATTGAACCCACAAAGAAGAAGACAGAAGAGAGAGATGAGGTGGATAGCAATATATCATCTCATCATTATTCATCTTATATAATAATCCCCAATGCTCTTTTCCTACCATAAAAGGCTAAACGCCTATGTCCCCTTTCTAGGCCAAACAACCTCGGAATTCCCATGTAAAATACCAACCCATGCGATATACTTAGCCAAGTGATCATGAACCAGAAACCTTCATCATCAGCTGGTGATTATGACAGTCGCGATCATGTTCGAGAGCTTAACCTCATTAACTGCTTCATCAACAACGATCGTCATAACGACAACGACGACGGAGAGGAGGAGGAGCGCAAGGTGTTCCCTTGCAACTACTGCCAGAGGAAGTTCTACAGCTCGCAAGCCCTCGGCGGCCACCAGAACGCGCACAAGCGAGAGCGGACGCTCGCCAAAAGAGGCCTCCGCAGCAGTAACGGTGTTTTTGCCTACCGCCCTTATTGGCAGGTCTACTACTGCACGGCGCCGTTTGCGTTTGGTATCCAACCCCTCTACTTCCACTCTCACTCTGCCTCTTCTTCGGCCGGAAATCTGATGCCGATGCTTCGATACCCGCGTCGGTTGGGTTGGCCGACGCCGCCGCCGGCGAATGGTAACAGTTCGATTAAGGGCCAAAGTGATGGCTTGCATAAGCTTGACCTAGCCCTCAAGCTCTAAGGTTACTAGCTATATATATGTTTCTTACGTAGTTACGTATTTTTCTTGTTTTCCCTTTTCCTCCCCCAACCAAGAAAGAAAACTATAGATCCATTTCAAGGGAGTTTCTACTACATGTATGTATGTATGTATTCACGTATATGATTGGTATGGTGGCGTTGTGTACGTGTTAAAATGCATTAGCTTTCTTCTAGATCGATCAACCCCAACTGTACATGGCACCGGGCCGTGTCGCTCACGGGCTAGCACGGCACGGCACGATTAGAGCACGAGCACGAAATAAATGGGCCAACCGGCACTAGCACGAATAATTTATGGGCCGTGCCGGGGCTATACTTCATGGGCACAGACACGAGCACGGCCACGACATGGTATATAAGTGGGCCGTGTCGGGCCTAATATTTTTGAGACTTTATTGAGTATAAGAACGGACATGGCACGGGAATAATATTTACTTGATAGAAAATAAATATAAAAAAAATTATAGGTTCAAATATTACAAACACACAAGTAGAAAAATAATTATTTGTTGTTGTTAGATGTGTCATAAAGATATATACGTAATTACTAACATAAGTAAAAATTGACAAAGAATTAAACAAAGCCAAATCACACTCGCTATATTTCCAATTTTCAGTTCCCCCTTATTTGTTATTTTTCTCAAACATTATCGGTTAATACTATCTTCTCCCGTCCAATTTTCACCTTCTTTTTCATTCTCTCTTTTGTTTTCGTCCTTTTCATTAAACACGAGCACGAATAGGCACGACACGATTCGAACCGTGCCCGGCCCTTGGCCGGGCCTAGCAAAGTTAACAAATGGGCTTGCATGGCACGACACGAAAATTGACGGGTCGTGCCAAGCACGACACGAAATAAATAGGCTCGAAGCGTGCCCGTGCCGTGCCGGCCCAAGCACGACCCAGCGCCCATGTACAACCCCAACCCACTAGATCCAGCCATTTTCAGGATCCAAAGGTCATCTTTGAACATTGTCGAGAGCAGATGCTGCGATCATAACAGGATGCAAAGCCAAGCAATCGATGTGTGGGAGTGACGCGACGAGATGTTTCAATGTGAGGATTTTAAAAGTTGGATCTCATATAGAAAAATTATCGACGAGGGTTGAGATTATGTTTTGAAGAGAATTTTCTCGCTTTTGTAGTGATGAGAATAGATTGATGAAATCTAATTAAAGTTTGTGAATTTGGAATGAGTTTGGAAACTAGTAAACTAAGGAGGGTGCATGTCGACTCTCGATCTACTTTTCCTCACACCAGGTGAGTGGGCCGGGCGGGATAGGACAGAACAGGTCAGGGTGAATTATGTACGATATTGGATCCACCAACGTCACCATCACTATTTTTTTCCCCTCTCATAGTGCAAGAAGTAAATTCAGCGAAATAATGTAATTTACCCAACAACAAAAAATATATAGACAATATTTCCCCGACATATATACCATATAATATAAATTTTGGTGGAAATGTAACACTTTGACTGGATGCATAATTGAACTCACAAAGATGAGTTGGATACCGACGTATCATTCAGAGGAGAGAATCTTATCATTTTTTTTATTATCTTATCTAATCATCCAAATGCTCTTTTCCTACCATAAAAGGCTAAATGCCGATGTCCACTTTCTAGGCCAAACCTCGGAACTCCATGTTAAATACCAAATTACCAACGATGCTATAGTTACCCAAGTCATGAGGAAAGCTTCATCGGCTGATGATAATGATTGTGAGTGTTACCAGACGACCCATCGTGATAAATTAGAAATTTCTAAACTCATTCATTTTTATTAATTACTTGGTAAATTATTTATATTATTGGAATTTTAGTATTATTTATTGTTTTAATTGTCTTAGTAGGATTTGGATTGTTTTTTAATTGTTGTTTAGAAATCGGTTATTATTTTCTTATGGGAGAAGTAGTCATATTTTGAGTAGGAGAAATGATATATTTCTATGACTATAAATATGTACACATTCTCTAGTTTAATGTCATTGAAGATTGAAACTCAGTTTATGTTTCTTACTTTGTTATTTTTTAGTAGTTTCATAGCAATTTGAGGTAGATCTCGCCATCAAGGAGATCATATACTCGAGAATGTCGAGCAACGCATCTAAAGTTCGTGTATGAGGATTTTTGCCGAGAATTTCCCGTAATAGAGAGCTGAAACTCATCGGCTGCTTCAGCAACGAACATGATAACAACGGAGAAGACGACGGAAAGGAGGAGCACAAGGTGTTCCCTTGCAGCTACTGCGAAAGGAAGTTCTACAGCTCACAAGCCCTCCGCGGCCACCAGACCGCGCACAAACGAGAGCACGGACGCTTGCCAATAGAGGCCTCCTGATGATTAGAAGCATTAGTAGCAGGAGTGTTTACTGCCAAGTTGCGGGATTATTTTTCAACATTTTTCAATTCTTGCACTTTTTTGATTTATGGATGTTTTGGATAACTAGGGATATTGAGAGTATTTGATTAAGGGATTTTGGAAGAATAATTATGGGGATAAATCTGGGTAGTTATAGAAGGAATTTCATTATATTTAGGGAATGATTGTTGGGAAGAGATCATTAATCATAATCACAATATTTTGGTGCAATTCCCTCCTCATTCCTCCTCTCTCTCTCTCTCTCTCTCTCTCTCTCTCTACCGAGTTCCCCTCCCCAAACCCTATTCTTCTTCTTTTCCAAACTTCACACGTACAGAACCCTTCTTCCTTCTCCAAAACCTCCTTTCTTCCATTAAACACCAAATCATCTCCTTTTCCTTGCACGTAGCCTACGCGCATACCCCTCCCAAGATCCACGCCTGCAACAAATTGGTATCAAAGCAGGTTGAGTGGTGTATGCCAACTACGACTAGACATATGTCGAAGAAGTCAGGCTAAGACGGAGCCGTGAATGATGAGATCGACGTGTAGGCTGTCATGGCTCAACTCCAAATGGTGGCCGCAAAGCAGAGCGAATCAGAAGAGAAGCTCTCACGATTTAGTGAACAACTGGAATATCATATGGAGCACGCGAGTCGAACGACAAAAGAGGCGGAAGGGACCGCGAAGGTTGGGCTTAGTGGGCTCGCCAAGGTGTTAGGCCAGATCTTGGTCGAGGTGAGAGCCGGCAATGGCCGCATAGGCAGGATGACTTCCACCATCACGACACCCGCTCCTGTGGTCCCGGTCATGGATGAGTGTCGCACCTCCCACAACATCGACGAAGACGGTGGCGAGAAAAAGAGTGAAAGCTCGGCGTCGGCGACGCGGAATGTAAACAAGAAGGACGAGGGCCTCCTGCCATTACCAGAGAACGACCTGGTGCTCCCAAGGAACCGGGGTAAGCTGCCGCAGGGAGAGCAAGGACCGGAAGGTGGGCCGAAGCAGGGCGGGTCCCACTGGTTCTCGGGCAGGCTGCGACTCGAGGAAGCCGCGACGATGAGTACGGCTGGGGTCGCGGATCTAACGACTTGCCCTAGGCCGGAGCGGGACGAGCGGGCGGCGGAGCGCGGGAAGCAAGCTGCGGAGGATTCTGGACGCAACGTGATAATCTAGAGGGGAACGAGAACTTCCCCGCTCTCGGCACACCCAAAGTGCGAGGTCCCATCCGAGGCAGCGGCAGCTTTGCGGGAGTTCGGGGCTACGGGAGGAACGAAGTTGACGTGGTGGGAATGGAAGGTGATGACGGATGGGATGTGATCGAGCCAAGACGACACCATGGCCCCTATGGCTACGGAAAGTACGGTGGTGAAGAGATCATGTTCCAGACCAAACCACCAGTAATTGAGTTCGCGAGGTTTTCAGGATTGGAGGACATAGGCGCGTGGCTATCACGAGCTGACCGTTGATTTCGACACCAAGGAACCAGGGAGGAACAGAAGGCGAATCTGGCAGCCTTCTATCTTGATGGGGCGCACAACAATGGTGGGAGTGGATGGAGCGAGCTTATTCCACAACTGGGCAGGAGATCATTTGGGATCGATTCAAGGAGGAATTCGCCATACGATTCAATGTGACGGACGGGTCTGCTTCTGAACAGCTGGTCAAGCTTAAGCAGACGGGCAGTGTAAGTGAGTTCCAATTCGAATTTGAACGCTTGAGTAATCTTTGCTATGGTATTCCAGAGGAGACCCTAGTCGGGATTTGTTTGGAAGGTTTGAGGACTGAGATTGCTGCGGGAGTCAAAGTGTTCGAGCCAGACTCGCTTCGAACCACCTTCCGAATAGCAAAGAGAAAGGAAGAAGAGTTGGTCGGGCAGAAGGCGAGTGCCAGGCCATTTAAATCTGGAGGTGGTGGGAGTGGTGCCTGGGGCGGAGGTGGATCAACCACGATGAGTAGCGGAGGTGGCGTTGGGCCTGCAGGGACCGCGGGAGTAGGATCGGCCGAGACAGGAGGTGGCGAGCCAACCGGACGGACCAAACCTCGACTCATCCCACGAGGGTTTGTTCGGTTAACTCCGATTGAGATGGACAAGAAACGGCGCGATGGCAAATGCTATAACTGCGACGAAAGGTTCACTATAGGTCACCGTTGCGCTAACGCCAATTCGATGCTACTTGTGGGAACCTTTGGGAAGAATAATTATGGGGATAAATCTGGATAGTTATAGAAGGAATTTTATTATATTTAGGGAATGATTGTTGGGAAGGGATCATTAAGCATAATCACAATATTTTGGTGCAATTCTCTCTCTCTCTCTCTCTCTCTCTCTCTCTCTCTCTCTCTCTCTCTCTCTCTCTCTCTCTCTCTCTCTCTCTCTCTCTCTCTCTCTCTCTCTCTCTCTCTGCCGAGTTCCCCTCCCCAAACCCTATTATTCTTCTTTTCCATACTTCACACGTACAAAACCCTTCTTCCTTCTCCAAAACCTCCTTTCTTCCATTAAACACCAAATCATCTCATTTTCCTTGCACGTAGCCTACGTGCATACCCCTCCCAAGATCCACACATGCAACACGCCCTTACTGGAAAACCTGTTCCGGCATGGCACCATTTGGTATCCAACCCCACTCTCACTCTCTTCTCCACCACGAGGAATCATCTTCTTCTTCGACTTGAAAGCTTACGGTGGAGTGTATAGGAGGGCACCATGCTAATTCCGCTAATCACTGCCAATTATTTTTAGTTGTATCTGACACGGTAGAGTGCAGTGGAGGGCATGTTAGATTTTTCTGAAAATCAATTTAATTTATAATTTTAAAATTTTGAAATATCCCTTCTCTCTCTAATAAAGATGTATTACGTGAAAATGTAACTGTTATGGTGGCCAAGATTGATTCATTCACTCCATAGACTTTTCTAGCGTCATGCAATGATTTGGTCAGGATCGGATCACAACAAATCAAATCAACATTTGGATTGGACCATTACAAATCAAAATATAATACGACTCGAGACTCCATTAATATTTCAAGCACTTAAGAAAAGTGGACAAAATCGATATTTGTATTAGATCAAACCGAACCCAAAAACAATTATTGTCTAATTGTAATATTTCTTTTACAATTGGATCGTGATTCTCGTTGGTCAAATTCATATCGAAGTGTTGCTCACTCCTAGGCTTTAAAATACCTAGATGCCTCCTACTTCCCACGGTCACCTAGGGTGTCATTGTGACCACTAGATGCTGAAAAATGGCCATAATGGTGGATCCTGGAAAAAAATTTCCTATATATGTCGGTCATGGAACATCCAAACACGAGTCAGGAACACAAACAAACAACTCACTACTGTGATTATTGTCCCATTCCATATGACGGAAATGTTTGGAAATTATTCTCTAACCTGACGTATTTAATCTATTTATGTATTTCAATTAAATTTATTATTAAATGTATGAATTTCAAAAATATAATGTTTGGAGGTTGAATGATTATGATGATCTCTTACAAAAAGAAAGGGGAAAATGTGAGATTGTCAATCTCAATTACAAAAAAAATGATAAATTCTTAAAATTACGGAGTCGTTTGGTTTTGGTGATAGTTTGGTTGGGATAGTTACAATGCATGCATTGTTCACAAACATTGTTTTTTTGAATTTTCTACGCAAACAATACATGTATTATTTGTTTGATTTGACACAAACTATCACTCAAAATGAGTGATAGTTAAATCTCACATTTTCGTTGAGATTGTTTGATGGAGATTGTTTTTTATTCTTCTTCCAAATATGTCCCTACCTTTCTATGTGTGTTGCTTTTTATATTAAAAATAAAGGGTAAAAGTGACATTTCACCCAAAAAGTGATATCATTTATTTAAATACTACAATAACTATCACAGAAATCAAACAATGTAAACTACAATACACCAATTTTCTTATATACATGTATCATATAAAATTCTAACTTCCAAATAACCTCTAAATCAAGATCTGATTCGGATTTCTTCGTTATACATAATTGACCTGCTGCTTTTCCAGTGCGCAAAAACCTGCTTCCTACATGTCTGGTAGAAGCCGAGGGTAAAGAGCACTTCTACTATGCTATATAGTATTGGTACTTTAATGTACAACTTAAAGTTGTACCATAACATTAAATGTATAAGTTTAGGTTGTACCATAAAGCAATTTGTACCATTATGTTATGGTACAACTTTAAAACTTGAAGTTGTACCATCACATAAAGGTACAAGTTCAAGTTGTACCATAAAAGAATTTGTACAAAAAGTATAGGTACAATCTAAAGTTGTACCATAACGTAAATGTACAATTTTAAGTTGTACCATAAAGGCAAAATCCTATAGCACCAATACTATATAGCATTGTAAAATTTCTCGAGAGGGTAAAAGGTCAAAAGATTCATTATGATGAAGATACCATCCCATTACTTCATCTTCTCAGTTATCAACAAATTGCATATGGTAGGTAGCTATGGAACAACCACTGAAACTCGAACCCAATCAAGACTGGTGACAAACTGACAATATTTCAGGTACTTTGAGACGGAGCCAAGATATTTTGATTGGAAGGGTCGATTCTTTTTCCGACAAAGTAATGGAAAATATCACTTTTCGAAGTTGTTTGACGCGAGATATTATTTTTAAGGTTTGTAATTAAATTTTTTAGGTATATGATCATCGTAATAAAAGCCAACATCACTTTTATAAAAAAAAACAATAGTACAAAAATATCACTTAAGAATTGCGTAAAATTCACCTTCAACATTGAACTAAACTGAAAATTGGACATATCAAAGCTTGAAATTAGAGAAAAAGGAGTGAAATTCGACTTTCAAAATGTGAAATAAACTATAAGTAGAAATGAGATAAATTGAAATATGGACATAGCCAAGATCGAAATTACAAGGAAAAAGATTAAAATCCACCTTTAAAAAACTAAATAATGGACAGATAAAAAATCTCTTCTCTCTTTCGTTCTCTGAAGGAAAGCCCTTCGCGATATCGATGGCGGCCGTCACCGATGGTGCGGCTGCTGTCGGTGACGGTTGTTCGTGGGTTTCATTATTTGGGGTTCCGGAGGATAATCGGTTGGAGTACTACGAGCCTGAGTATGTGAATGGCTCGTTAAGGATCCCTCGGGAGGTGATTGAGGAAGGTGCTAAGAGGTGGGGAGCATAGCCTTGTCGGCCAGTTCATTGGTAAGCCAGCTTCACTCTATTCGATTCGTTACTGGGCGAACTGGATATGGGGGAAGGATGGTGAAATTAGGGTCTCGTGGATGGGAAAGAAGCTACTTCTATTTCAATTTCCGAACGCTGAGATCTGTCAGTGTGTGTTTGATAATGTTCCTTGGCACCATCGTGAGAATCTTGTGTTTTTGTGTCGCTGGGAACTAGGAATTAGCCCTCTAGCCATTGATAACACAGTGCTGCCTATCTGGGTTCGTTTATCTAACCTTCCGTCTGAGCTTACTTCTATGGTTGGGCTGGGTAGGGTTGCGAGTTCTCTGGGAAAGCCACTGTGTATGGATAATTCAACAAGGTCTGGAAGGAAAGTGGGGTTTGCTCACCTCTGTGTGGAGGTTAATAAGGCTTTAGATAAAAGGGTTTCGAAGCTGAGTATTACCCAAGATGGGTTGCCTGAAATCTTTGTGGATGTGGAGTATTGCAATTTGCCACAGGTATGTATGAAGTGTGGATGTTTTGGGCATGACTGTGCCACTCCTCGTGGACCTAGTAAGCAGGTCTGGAAGCCTCGAGTTCCATTTATTGGTGAGATTGTTCCTACGGTCACAGAAGTAGTAGTCGCTGATGACAAAAATGTGAGGGTGGACATTGCTAATGATCAGGTGGAGACAATTGGAGTGGTAAGGCAGGTGGAAGTTACTCCTCCACCAGAAGCTGGGTTAATTGATGAGGAAGGTTTTACATTGGTGGTTAATCGTCGGCAGAAAACCAAAGCTGGGTCGTCAGGTGTGAATCAGGGGTTTAGGCGGACTTTGTTGGATGAAAAAACGTTTCCTCGGTTGCAGCAAAGCTGTTCAAGCAGTAAGGTTGAAGCTCCTCCCCCAAGAGGTCGTGGGAGGGGGAAGAAGCGGGGTAAATGAACATTCTGAGCTGGAATGTCAGGGGCTTTAATGCTCCTAGCAAGCACTTAACTG